AAGCCATACCAAATGGAAGTTCGGAAGAAGTTGGAAAATTTTTAGTAGAAGACGTGATCCTTAAACATGGAGCACCCAGAGAATTGATTTCAGACCGAGGTCGAACGTTTATATCTCACACAATACGGGAGATTAACAACCTCTGTGGAACCGCACATCGCTTTACTTCTGCCTACCACCCCCAAACAAATGGCCTGACCGAGAGACTCAACAAGACACTTGGTGACATGCTGTCTATGTATGTTGACGTAGACCAAAGAAACTGGGACTCAGTTCTCCCTTACGTAACTTTTGCCTATAACACCGCCAAACAGGAAACCACTGGGTTTAGCCCTTTCTATCTTGTACACGGACGCGATGTCGAGACCCCATTGGACACCATCCTGACGTATAGAGAGGAAGCCAATCTGGAAGACTACGTGGAGTCTTTGGTCACAAATGCCGAGGACGCACGCCAGCTGGCCCGTTTGAACATTTTGAAGGCGCAAGAAAAAGACAAATCTCGATACGACAAAAGCCACAGACCTGTCCAGTATCGCGCGGAAGACCTTGTGTGGGTGTACACACCTGTGCGTAAACAAGGACTGTCGGAGAAGCTACTTAAAAGATACTTCGGCCCCTATAAAGTTGTGAGACAACTGTCTGAAGTAACTTATGAAGTAGAGGCCTTGGAGAGGAGACCCCGACAACGGAATATCAAAGACATCGTCCACGTCCTGCGGATGAAACCATACAGAAGCCCAGAAGAACAAACACAGGACTGATCTCAGAGTGAATTTTTTTTTTAAGCAGCGGGTCGCTGCTTATTTTTGAAAAGGGGAGTAATGTCATAACCAAAAATGTACATAGCTTGTAACTGTAAAGCTTGGCAAGCACGTTACATTCTCTGCGCGCACGTTACATTCTCCGCGCGCGCGCTCGAGAGTTAACGCTGTTTACCGCTAATTCTTTTCATCCCTCAAACTTATTCCTCAATTAAAGTTATCTAATAAACTATTATTTTATTCTATCCAAACGACTCGTCACCTTCATTACTGTGACAATATATATTCAAAGAAAGTATCATTTTAAATAAAACCTCGCCATCCGATTTTTACTTTCAGCTAAACAAGGATGAAAGGTGTTTTATTTAAGTCTTCTTAGATATTTTATAGTTTTTCTATAAATACGAGGTAATCTACATTTAAGATTCCTCAATTTTATATTACTGTTAATATGTAAAATTTTGACTATAGGTTACCGTGAATAAACCAGTCAATAATCTTCACCAGCTAATATTTATTTTTTGTTGTTGTTGTTAAACACTTTCCTTTTCATAATTATTATTAACTTTGAGTATTGTAAATAACAATTGATAATATACGGAGAATAGAGATGTTAGAAAAGAAAATGATAAAATTGATTGTTTTATACCAATGTCCTTTTGCTATCGTGATGGCGAAACTCAATCTTTGTCGTTTTGTCGTATTTTCTTTCTAATTGATTCCATTAGGCTCTCGACAAAAGGAACAGATAAATGTTCTGATTGAATGTCCTTACATATCGTATGTAATACCGATAAACAAGTTCTTTATTTTGATATTTAAAGTATTGTTGCAATAAAAACAATTTCTTCAAATTGAAGACACTTCGGCCAGTAAATATCTTTTTAAAAATAATCTTTAATTTGAAGATATATGAATGTCGGTCAGACAGCCTCTAGCTTTACGACATGAAAACTAAATATTATTTTAATAATAGGAACACGCTGTGAAAATTTGTTTATTTTAGTACGCAGGGTATCTTTTGTTAAAAATAGGTTTTTGAACAATCTTTGTACAAACTTTCAAAGAAAATTTAGTAAAAAGACAGAAAAAGTTTTAACTCGACAATTTATTTATATATATAAAAATTATATATATATATGTTATATTAAAATATTTTATTTAAAAAAAATTATAGTCATCTCCACAAGAAAATCAAATCTCTTTTTCTTTATATAAGAATAGTCGACAGGATTTTTACCTGTTTATTTTTTCAAAATGGCAAAAGCAAAATTTTTCAAACTCAAATATGCAAATCTTCCAATCAAAAATAACTCTCCCAATCAAAAATAGCTCATTTCAACCAAAAATAACCTACTTTAAAAGGACATAGCATTCTCTGCAAGCAAACATAGCTACTCCGCAAGCAAACATAGCTACTCCGCAAGAAACCATAGTCATCTCCACAAGAAAATCAAATCTCTTTTTCTTTATATAAGATATATATATATATATATATATATATAACAGCCCGAAACGCGTCCGTGGTTAGCTTTTCTTGATTAATCAAGAATGGGTATTTGGCCAATTCTGGAATAATTAAAAATCAACGAGAATAGTTGATATTTATTCCGATAGATGGCGCCAGCCATCAGCAACTTTCAGTTGCACGATAAGGAGATGCCTTTTTCTTAATTTATGCACCTTATCCCAGTACAATGTTACATTTGTGCTATTTTTTCACATTGTGTAGCGTCCTCACGCAATTCTGGCCTTAACTACCCGTTTCATGATTTTTCAGGATGCCTTAATGACCAATTTTTTGGTCGTTGAGGTACAGCTTGCACCACGCTGATGAGGGCCAACAGCCCGAAACGCGTCCGTGGTTAGCTTTTCTTGATTAATCAAGAATGGGTATTTGGCCAATTCTGGAATAATTAAAAATCAACGAGAATAGTTGATATTTATTCCGATAGATGGCGCCAGCCATCAGCAACTTTCAGTTGCACGATAAGGAGATGCCTTTTTCTTAATTTATGCACCTTATCCCAGTACAATGTTACATTTGTGCTATTTTTTCACATTGTGTAGCGTCCTCACGCAATTCTGGCCTTAACTACCCGTTTCATGATTTTTCAGGATGCCTTAATGACCAATTTTTTGGTCGTTGAGGTACAGCTTGCACCACGCTGATGAGGGCCAACAGCCCGAAACGCGTCCGTGGTTAGCTTTTCTTGATTAATCAAGAATGGGTATTTGGCCAATTCTGGAATAATTAAAAATCAACGAGAATAGTTGATATTTATTCCGATAGATGGCGCCAGCCATCAGCAACTTTCAGTTGCACGATAAGGAGATGCCTTTTTCTTAATTTATGCACCTTATCCCAGTACAATGTTACATTTGTGCTATTTTTTCACATTGTGTAGCGTCCTCACGCAATTCTGGCCTTAACTACCCGTTTCATGATTTTTCAGGATGCCTTAATGACCAATTTTTTGGTCGTTGAGGTACAGCTTGCACCACGCTGATGAGGGCCAACAGCCCGAAACGCGTCCGTGGTTAGCTTTTCTTGATTAATCAAGAATGGGTATTTGGCCAATTCTGGAATAATTAAAAATCAACGAGAATAGTTGATATTTATTCCGATAGATGGCGCCAGCCATCAGCAACTTTCAGTTGCACGATAAGGAGATGCCTTTTTCTTAATTTATGCACCTTATCCCAGTACAATGTTACATTTGTGCTATTTTTTCACATTGTGTAGCGTCCTCGCGCAATTCTGGCCTTAACTACCCGTTTCATGATTTTTCAGGATGCCTTAATGACCAATTTTTTGGTCGTTGAGGTACAGCTTGCACCACGCTGATGAGGGCCAACAGCCCGAAACGCGTCCGTGGTTAGCTTTTCTTGATTAATCAAGAATGGGTATTTGGCCAATTCTGGAATAATTAAAAATCAACGAGAATAGTTGATATTTATTCCGATAGATGGCGCCAGCCATCAGCAACTTTCAGTTGCACTATAAGGAGATGCCTTTTTCTTAATTTATGCACCTTATCCCAGTACAATGTTACATTTGTGCTATTTTTTCACATTGTGTAGCGTCCTCACGCAATTCTGGCCTTAACTACCCGTTTCATGATTTTTCAGGATGCCTTAATGACCAATTTTTTGGTCGTTGAGGTACAGCTTGCACCACGCTGATGAGGGCCAACAGCCCGAAACGCGTCCGTGGTTAGCTTTTCTTGATTAATCAAGAATGGGTATTTGGCCAATTCTGGAATAATTAAAAATCAACGAGAATAGTTGATATTTATTCCGATAGATGGCGCCAGCCATCAGCAACTTTCAGTTGCACGATAAGGAGATGCCTTTTTCTTAATTTATGCACCTTATCCCAGTACAATGTTACATTTGTGCTATTTTTTCACATATATATATATATATATATTATTGACATGGTCCCATAACAGCAGATTTACACACCCAAGATGGTGGACATTGCGACTGCTGTGAAGAGATGCATAGAGACATCCGAGGCTCTTCATTGGACACGACAACAACAACAGAAAATTGACATGGACCCAGAACAGCAGCTTTACACACCCAAGATAGAGGACATTGCGACTGCTGTGATAGAGATGTATGGAGCCATCTGAGGCTCTTCATTGGACACGACAACAACAACAACAGAAAATTGACATGGACCCAGAACATCAGCTTTACACACCCAAGATAGTGGACATTGCAACTGCTGTGATAGAGAGAGAGAGAGAGATGTATGGAGACATCTGAGGCTCTTCATTGGATACGACAAAAACAACATAATTTTATTTGATTCCCAGTCCTATCCTATTTGGAGATATTAAACACATGGCGTCAAATTCTTACATTTATTAACCAGTTTATAAAGAAGTTTTCGTTTATGTAAATTAGTTTATAATTTTAATTCATTAAGAATATAACGTGAGAAAAGTTATACTTGCTGGTAATTAAAATTAATTGAATTATTTATATGCATATATATTCATGGACAAAACTTAAGGAAGTGGAAAGTCTTTTTAATGTCGCAGGCCTTCTTTTTTCTTAAGAAGAAGAAGACAGAGACAATTTTGTTTACACTTGCTCATCTCGTGTGTCTTTAATAATGTTCAATATGTATAAAATATAATTTAAATGTCGTTTTACAATCACAAGCCGCATTATATTGTATTATAAATTACTTTATGTATTATTTACGAACGGAAAAATATGTCCAGGGTAGCCTAGTGGACATGGCATCTGCCCGGTAAGCGGAACACTGTGGGTTCGATTCCCATCCTTGGACATTTTTATTTTTCCTTTTATCATTGCTCTTCACAATTCATCCTTTCATATCTCATCCCATAGGTTAGAAATAATCAATATTTCTCCTTAAAATAAATTTTGATTTTTCGTTGAAAAGAAACTCATGCGGGATAATCTTTAAATGTCGTTTTACAATCACAAGCCGCATTATATTGTATTATGTATAAATATATTTGAGAGTAATTGTTTGATTATCGATATAAATGCTTAAAAATACGACTTCCTTAAATTTTGTACTTTAGTATATATATAATAAAAACAAAGAATACATATCCTGAACGCTAACAAAAGCATTATATATAACATAGGTTTTCTAGAGAATGATATTTATGTATCAAAAGAAACAAATTTCCTTTTAAAAATGCATTAAAACAATATACAGTTAAACCTGTCTATAGCACCCCCTCTTGGGACTCACCAAAATAGGGAGCTATAGAGAGGGGGTGCTATAGACAGGTCACTTTTAATGTACATCGCATTGTGATACGTATTTAAAATCGGGCGCTATAGAGAGGGAGGCGCTATTTAGAGGGGGCGCTATAGTCAGGTTAAACTGTATAAACTTTATTTATAACCCCATACAAAATGTACAAACTGATGTTGTGCCACACACAGTATTCATACCAACCATTACATTTAAAATAAGGGTAATAAACAATTTGAAATGTCTTATTGATATTTTAAATGCCTCTTTTGGTGCATTGATTTATATGCAAAATATACACGTTTCCCTTCTAATAAACTATTCTTTATAGCTTGACAACAGACAGTAAATAACGTTGTAGATATACGTATATCAATTTGCAAATACTAGAGAGAATTATCATAGATTTAACTATTTTTGTAAATATATTTATGATTATTTTTCTAACATGAAAGGTTTAGGTTCCTAATATATATTATTGTTTCTTTTTTTTTTTTCCTTTTTTATTTTCTTGTATAATAAGTTTATAACTGTTTCTGTTTAAAAATGTAAATCGACGCAATTATCCCTAGCCGGAATTTCGCGTTTTGTGTATTGAAATAAATAAATAAAATAAAGGCACAAAATGTATTTTGTTTAAAAAAAAAACAATGTATATTGGAAGAAGCATTTTTTATGGATCAATTTCTTCACAGAAAAAAATATTATATGTATTGCATTTTTATGATTACTAAAAGGGTGTATTGAATTGTTTAATAGGGAAAGATAAACAACCGGGATAAAGGTTTCTCTCTTTTTCTAAATATGTATTAATAAATTTCAATCATCAAACTATTCGAATTGATATTCTTTCTTTCTCTGTTGTATATCTATTTTAAGTTTAATTATTTAATTATATGCGCGCCTTCTGTTATGAAAATTCGAAACTATTATACCCATTCCAAGAGTCTAGCATCAGTATCACTATAAAAGGAAGATAAAATAATGCAATATAACCGCGGTATGGTAGATTGAACTGGCCTAACCGCTGGGAGGGTTCATCAGCCAGCCAGGCCCTCCTATTAATAGTCGAATTTTCCCAATTATTTAATTAATCCCACAATTCTTTTATTTGTTTTCTCTCTAGTAAAATCAATAAAAATAATGTTTGATAAATTTTATTGGGGTCATATTTACAATATATTTAAATCAATTGATTTCAATTAAAGATTTTTTAATTAATATATGTAAAGAGTATTGTACCTTATAAAGTTGATTTCATAATTCACAAGTATTATTCATATTCTCTCGAAAACACTATTTATATTTCGCTGCAAATCTGCTAATTATTTTAACGATTTTTAAAAATTCATATATTTTTTAAATGTTTTACGTTTTGGAAAATTAGTTTATATATATATATATATATATATGGGCTAAAAATATTTTTTCGCGAAGTGTTGAGAAATTTAGATGTGATGTCTTAATTGAAAAAAAAATGATTAAAATAATATTAATTTCAATGAAAGTGTAATAATTTATATTATGATACATTAGCCCGACATCTGTTATGAAAATTCGAAACTATTATAGACTTGTGAAGTGTAGTTATATTTACGAAATATTATATTTTTGTTTAATTAAAATGTACATATATTGACCGGAATTTAAAGTAAAAAAAAAATCAATCACGTATTATATAAAAGATTTAAAATAAAACATTTAAAGCGTTTGCCAATTTAAATAATATAATTTTACAGATATATTGTGCTCCGCAAATTGTTTATTTATTTGTAATAATCAGGTAAAAATATTAACGCTTTTTTGGTATCATTTATGGTATAATTTAAAATTTACCACCGTTTTAATAAATTTATAGAAGTATTTTAAAAAATATTAGGTGATATAGAATTCATTAAGTCTGTTTTTACACATTACGCTAATTTTGTTTCAAATCCGTTTTTTTATTTTATTCCAAAAGAAACAAGAAAAAAAAGTAGTTTTATCATTCAAATTTCTTTATACCCCAAAAGTGTAATAATTTTAATTATCAATTTAAAGATATTATTCGTTGATACTTTATTTAAAATATAATTTTAAAAGTATTGCATTAGAATACATTTCTAAATCTCTTACCTATAAATAAAAAAATAATATTTGACCATATTTTATCAGATGATTAAAAGAATTCAAATATTGAGAAGCAATATGTTTATAAATCTCCACAAATATTATTTTTATTAAAATAATTTCAAATAATTATACTTTATATCAATCGCTAATTTCAAAATATATTATAAAATTATAAAATACGATTATTTATAAATTATATTTATATATATTAAAATATATATTACAATTAAAATATAAATATTTATAAAACAAAATAACGCTTATAATCAGAAGATTATCGGTACGATGGATCAAGTGTTAATTGATCTGAAAGCTCTGGTTGAAAATATTCAAGATATTCAAGTGCGGTTAAGGCAGGTACTAGATGTCCATTTGAAAGACGACAAACTGTCTCTGTACACCAGGAACCATTTGAATGCCATCAAGGACTTAACCTATGTCTTTGAGCGCGATGGTGAGGACCATCTAAGAATCGCACAGCTACATATCAGCTCGGACTATCTGGACCTCAAGCCATTTGCAAAGGATCCTCTCATTCGACTCTGCAACCGTCTGCTATACCAAGAAATGAGATTTAGATTCTTGGAAGAAGAAGTTATTCCTAATATTATTGGCATGGCGACTGGTTGACCACATTCGTTTCTCTTGAGTAAAATAAAATATTAAGAAAATACCTATATGAAAATATGATACATATTCATACAACATACAATAGTTATATGTGTGAATGGAAACTGCCTGACCACATTCACTTCCCTTTTGATGAAAATAAAATGAATAAATAAGAAAATTCCAATGAAAGGATATTACATCCATACAACTAACATGTTATATGTCTGTATTAGCGCTGGGAGGGTTCACCACTGATAAACCAGGTCATTCCAATAAATCATCATTGAAGTGAATGCAGTAGAAAATTGTTTATTAATAAAAAAGAAAATACGTGCGTCTATAATACTTACAATTTCTTATAGCTAAATTGTTATAGTAAATATTTTAACTAGGAAGATATAAAAAATTAACATCATTACGTCCCTTACTAGGGAAGAACAAACGGCGATTTCAAGATTACGAACAGGACATCTTAGAATGCTCAAATATAATGGAAAAATCAAAACATTCCCGAAATTCCCCAAATGCGATTCCCAACCAGCCAGTCCTGAACATCTATTGAATTCTATCAAATCTTCCAAAATAGACCTCTGGGAAAACCTCAGGACTATAATAGAAAGGCTGAGACAATGGGACCTAATGGAAATCGTTTGAACGACTTGAGGAATAAGCAACAACGCATCATATGGTTATGGAAATATAGTATATATCTACCAAAGGAGGCTCATCTTCCTTTAAATGCATTAAAATCGGTCAGGTTTATTTACCTATTTTTATTTCTCTAGAATTCGAGATAACTGGCCCCTTCAACAAGATCTCTAGTAGTATAACTTCAATTAACTATACACGCCGAAATTAAGATCTAAAATTTTAGATATTTATATTCAGCATGTATATATATATATGGCGTCTAGTTTTGACGTCTATTTTGACGGGAGAGGCGACCTTTGTCTCTTTATATCATAATCCTCCCGGCAAAATTTCGATAAATATTTTAGCCATAGATTTGGCCCAGCCACTTTGCCAGCTAAAGACCTCTTTGGCAGATTGTGAAGATTCCATTAGATCCCATGTGGATCTCATGGAATAAAGTCCGCCCTAGACTAACGAGGGCCATTAGCCCGAAACCATGGTCTCTAGGTGGACGCTTTTCAGTTTGCCGAAGCTGGTGTTGTGGCTTTGTCAACGACCTGAGGCCGCTAGTTGGCAGCGACGGTCAATAGATGGCGTCTAGTTTTGACGTCTATTTTGACGGAAGAGGCGACCTTTGTTTCTTTATATCAATATCCTCCCGTCAAAATTTCCATCTATATATAAAGTTAGCTGGAAGTCATATATATACTCCCAGTACTTCTGTTGAAGTGCATTTTATCCCGAAAGCTAGAGAAATAAAATATGATTTAAAAACTTGGCTCTGGATTGTTTTACTATTTTTTTTTCAATTTTAAAGGCAGAGATGAAAATGTGTTAAAATTGGTACCAAATATTAAACCATCAACAGTCAACTTTAACTTAAAATTTAAATTCCGTTTTCTTTTCTGGACTCTCTTTAAAATGATACGAATCAAGAATGATCTTAATGTTGTTACAAGGTGAGTATTAGAATTAATTTGAAATATCAATTAAATTTGATTGAAGTAATTGGAAAGTCCATTCGTGGTGGAAATGATGGACGTCATTGGGTAAGAGTTAACTTAGTTTGAGAAGATATGAATTTGATTTTGGCGATAATTGCTTCAAGTTCTGATTGGCCAGAGTTTGAACAGTGTACAGTTAGGCCAATAGCTCCTATGTAGATTATTGTTACCAGAGTAATATAACCTCTCAAATCT